AATACTGATTCGAATGCTGTGGCCAGATGACACTTCTGTGGCTTGTACAGCGTTGATCGGAATCCTTCCCATGTGCAGAGTACACGACCTACCTTCACAGAATGGTTCAATTTCCATGGCATCGATGATATCTTGTTTCCTTACAATGCTTGGTATCGAAAAAGCACCCTGTATGATGGCATCTCTTCGGTCCCCTTCCAGAAGTGCAGTGAGAACAACAGCCGCCCGAGCATTCGTGGGCGATTGCTCAATCAAAACATGACATGCATATTGGTCTCTTCTGGCCTGTGGTGGACGTGGTCTGACAACATGTATTGTGAAAGGCAATCTGCGCTCCAAAAGGTCTCGCCACAGTTGTCTGAAATCATCAATCCATGTGACTGACTGCCGTTCCAGTCTCAACGGCCTGGGCCTGCGACAGGTCGGGTACCTTTCATGATGTATGAACCATGTCTGCACATACATGAGAAGTTCATCTTCAAAAGCTTCCGCCTGCGCCGATTCGGCAAAGATTTGTCCTAAATCCATGAGCCACTCAATGCTTCCATCGTGGGGCGGATACAATCTGCGACGATACGCAGGTGGTGCATACATTGTTGGCACATCAATGTCATAAGAGCCAAGGTCTGCTCCCTTGGTCTCAACATGTGGAGGGTTGTCTCTCTGTCGATCCTGCCCATCATTGGCTGCTTGATGATATGTATTATGCAAAACTTCAGCAGCAATGCGGCCGGCCTCAGGAAAATCAAACAAGTCAGCGACATCTTGGAAGACCCGTAACGTGTGTCCAATTTCCCACGAAGCCTCAGGTGGGGGTGGGATCACTATACGGAAATACATGCCATGCAACATGCGTTTGGGACCATTGTCATGAACAGGCCAAAGAACTCGATTGCAATGCACTAGGCAAGCTTGATCTCTCCATTCACAGTATGCAGACACTCGGGCAATTTGCAGAAGCTGACTTCTCAACAATGTGGGAACCACTTTGTAAACCTGGCGCATGATTCTGGGTGCTTGGACAGCCATGTGACCTGATGCTGATGCATGGAGTTCAATGTCAATCACCACCAGCTTTTCCGTTGAGCCAGGCATAATGTCCCCTACGTGTTGAAGAATTATGGATTCCTCTTGCTCAGTTTGGTCATCAGGGGCGACCATCAGATAGTGAAAGCATGAGAATTGTTGCGGAGGGATTCCTACGATCCGTGCTGCATCAACAATGACATGTTCAGTGAAGTCCCAACGTAGGCGTCCAAAAGTCTGTGGATAGCCTAAACGAAATATATGAACCCCTTGTCTGGCGGCTTCTGTCGCATCACTATTAGAGCTAGAAGGGGGGTTCATTTGGGTCAGAGGGATCTTGCATGTTCTGATCATCATCCTGATGGCTGGTAGGCTTGTCAGCTTTCTGACCATCCCCCTGACAGGGGCGATCCTGTGTCGATGAACTGCTGGCGGCCGGCGATGATACAGCAATTGTGAAGGAATCGCCATCTTGCACATCATGGGTTGGTGCCATTGTGAAAGGAATTGTGATACCCGCATGCCTGATTGTGCAAATGTCTCTGTTGCATTCATGGACAATCTCAGCGCCTTGGACAATCTGTACACCGCTAGTTGTATACGGTAGCGATGCCGCAAGTGAAAATCTGGCTCTTGATGCACGATCATTCTTTTGAAGAACAGTGATCAGACCGGAATTTCTAGGAGCCTCAAGTCCTTGTGAAATGATGATGTCAAAAATGATTTCCTGTGTCATTCCACTTCTAGGTGGGTTCGGATGCACAATGCTGAAAATGGTATCCTCATTTGGATCATTTTTGTCCCTCCATCCAGCTAAGATGTCATTGAACCAATGGCGCCAATGCCCTTGAAGTTCAAGCGTACGATGATGCCAGCATCTAGGTTCATGGATGTGGTGAATATGCCATGAACGCACAAAAACGCTTTCTTCAAGTCCGGGTCCAATAATCAAGCCTTCTCGGAGAAAAGCATCAAACAGCAATTGGATAGAGTCAGGTGCCTCATGAAGGAAAAACCCTGCATCATCGTTTGGCTGTTCTTGATCATTGTTTTCGTTGCGGTCATTATGGTCATCATTGTCAGTGTGGCCGTACCATCTAGAGGGAACGTTGTAGAATTCATCGCTTCGATGACACTTCCACAATCTTGGTTGTTGTGTTGTGTCTTTCTCGGCTGGCAGTGAAGTCCGGATCGACACGGCCTCATTGGACAGCGGTTCCTGGGCTTCAAGCCTGTGACGTTCGTACTTGAAAGAGTCAGAGTCCAAAATGTTTTCAATAGACTTCAATGGTGTTCTTTGCAAACCATGGAAATCTTGAGTCTGTAAAGAAGTAAAATTGGTCACTTGTGTGGCTGCTTTCTCAATGCAATCGGAAAACGCACTGGGTTCTGAACTATACAAACGCCAAGGTTTTTCTGTCCAATTGTGCAAACGAGATTCAGCAACAACCAAAGTGGCACTGATTGAAGGTGTGTCCAGCGTGAAACGTATATCAACATCTGAAGAAAAACGCACATGTCTGCTTTTCCCACATGCAGAGAGCTGTCTTTCTCGATGGTCGCTGACGTTGGACGGCGGCGTGCCTAGCTTCCATGCTAGTTCATATGCCGATTCAATTGCATACCATCTGGTGGTAAACCAGGGTTCATCACAAGCACTGTGGGTCCAATTGAGAACACATGGATGCCCTAGACAAGGGTACACTTCAGTCACGACTTGTCGGGCGGTGGAAAATGCGAATGCGAATCTTGGTTCTCCTTGGACTCCCGTTTCGGGAATGCTTGCATGGCTGGTGCTGAGGGTGATGGCATTCCCCCACCAGATAATGGCGCTGATTGCACAAATCCTTCTTCTACACGCTGCCGTTTGTTGGAGCTGTTTGCCTCTTCTGTTACCATTGCTTCTGCTGAAGCTTGCACTGTCTCTAATTGCGAACGCATGGTCACCAAACTGTCGAATAGTGCAGTTCCTACTGTCACTCCTTCTGAACCATCGGCCGCAGCCTCTTCCATGGCGGCTTGGGCTTCGACATCGATGACCTGCACACCCAGTTCCGACTTTGAGTTCTCGAATCTTCGAACTGCAGCAGCTAGTGAGGTCTTGGCAGCCTCGATCTGTTGTGTCAGTTCGGATTCTTCTCTCTGAAAATCCTCCGTGTGCTTCTGCCATCTCTGGACCGCATCGGTCAGGAAATTGCGCCACTTGATGTGGAGATTGTGCCTGGCTAGCTTTGCAATGTCCAGTGTCTCGCGTGCTGTGCTCAAATCGTCCACTGCACTGTAGAGGGATTGAGTTGATTTCTGCCCTTCTTTCATGTGTGATCGTTGTAAAATGGCTTGCACCTCGGGGTCCATGTCTTGCTGTGATTTTTTCAGCGCATGGATCAATTCCTTCAATGTAGTTTCTTCCGCCGAGGGCGGTGGCGGTGGCGTTGTCGGTGGCGGCAATGGTAAACTGCTTGGATGCAATGTCGGAGTCCATGGAGGCTCCGGAGGCACCATAGTTTCCCCCTTGCCCTTGCCTTTGTCCATGTTCTGGCTTGGGACTTTTCCCTTTCCAGTCTGCTTTCCCTGCTGGTGACTGCCATCTCCCTTGCCAGCTTTGTATCCACCTCCCTTCCCGCGACCTTTGTGTCCATGTCGAGGCGATTTCGGCTGCTGCGACTTGCCTCTGTTGCCCTTGCCATGCGTGGGCTGCGTGGACTTTGGCCCGACTCTTGATGGTACTTCCAATTCCAGTCCTGTTGACGGGTAGGAGGGACGTATTCTGTGTCCTGACACTCCTGCCATGGTGTCAGGCACTGGCTGCAACCATTTGCAGACGCCTTTGATATCTTTTTGCAGTACTTGCACCTCCAGGGCTCGTAAGTCGCCATGATTTCCTTTGAAATACGGTTGATCAGACTTGCGTCCTTCGAATGGTGTGTACTGAGTCTTCGTTGAATTGCCCCCAGACTTGACAAATTCAATCTCACTTTGCCAGTCTTGTGAAGATACCAAGCAAGTCTCGCCTTTGCTCTGGCTCTTCTCTGCGATCTCCTGGTTGATGCCTTGATATTGGAAAATCCACACAAGTAGCCAGAGTAAACTCAATGGCATACGGTGCAATGTCCAGGTAGAAGGCCACCAGGAAGGTGAAGTCAAAATTGTAAATCAACAACTTAAGGCAGTGAGTTGTGGACCCGTCCGCAAAAAGCAGGAATAAGATTTTTTTTTTGTGAAAAGGGGATGAAACAAGCCTTACCTCAAGACGTCCCAATACAAAGGAGCCAGACAGTATAGGGAGCTCACCCCAAATGCGTGACACTTGCTGGCAGTCACGAAAGCCAACCCGGGTGTTTTGAGTGTCCGGGACCACAAGTTCCAAAAGGCCGCAAAAAGCTCGATCCAGTCAGATGCAGCCCGCGACGCTCTATGGCAGGTGAAGACCGTCGCTAAGGTCTAAGCTGAAACGTGGGGCAGTTTTGAGCCCGACCTTTTTTTTTATATATATATATCTATACGTATATATATATATGCACATCATATTTTATATATCGTAATAATGTACTGGTAGTAAGATTAATAGTGATATTGATGCTATATGTATATATATATATATATATATATTGTATAGTACCGTAGCAGGTAGTAGCAATAGCTATAGTGGCACCAAAAAGATAGACATAGTATTTTCTGGTAGGATGCTATCTTTCTATTTGTTTGAGGATTGCTACATGAGACACACACACATATATATATGCATACATATACGGGTAATAGTTGGTATGAGTAATGATAGCGACGAAACAATGTCGGTATTACCACAGTCTCACTGCTGTTCTACTTTGGATAATAGTGCCACTTGCTTCTTTCTACAATTATCATGCTTTTTTCAAACCAATGAACCCAGGTAATTAACAAGAAAGCAGAACATATGAACTGCCCTGGTTTTGATTCCATGTTGGCCTTCAGTTTGCTTTTTTGGCTGCCAGGTGTTTTTTTGTCTCCTCTCGCACCCGAGCTGCGGGTCTCGGTGAACATGGCATTGGTGGATTCGGGCTCGTCGGATTGTGAGCTGCGGGAAGGGTTTCTGGAGACTTGGCAGATACCACACTGCAATGATGGGCAAGACTGCAACAGTTCCACACTATTTGAGTGGTAGATATAGAAAGATGGATGGATGGATAGATCGATAGATAGATAGATCGATCGATAGATTAGATAGATAGATAGATAGATTAGATTAGATTAGATTAGATTAGATTAGATAGATAGATAGATAGATTAGATTAGATTAGATTAGATTAGATTAGATAGACAGATAGATAGATAGATTAGATTAGATTAGATTAGATAGATAGATCGATCGATAGATAGATAGATAGATAGATAATCAGATAGATAATTAGATAGATAGATTAGATAGATAGATAGATAGGTAGGAAGGTAGATAGATAGATAGATTAATTAGATAGATAGATAGATAGGTAGGAAGGTAGATAGATAGATAGATAGATTAATTAGATAGATAGATTAATTAGATAGATAAAAAATAGATAGATAGATTAATTAGATAGATAGATTAATTAGATAGATAGTAATAGATTAATTAGATAGATAGATTAATTAGATAGATTAATTAAATAGATAGCTTAATTAGATAGATAGATAGATAGACAGACAGACAGATAGACAGACAGACAGATAGACAGATAGACAGATAGACAGATAGACAGATAGATAGATAGATAAGATAGATAAGATAGATAAGATAGATAAGATAGATAAGATAGATAAGATAGATAAGATAGATAAGATAGATAAGAGAGATAAGAGAGATAAGAGAGATAAGAGAGATAAGATAGATAAGAGAGATAAGATAGAGATAAGATAGATAAGATAGATAAGATAGATAAGATAGATAAGATAGATAAGATAGATAAGATAGATAAGATAGATAAGATAGATAAGATAGATAAGATAGATAAGATAGATAAGATAGATAAGATAGATAATATAGATAAGATAGATAAGATAGATAAGATAGATAAGATAGATAAGATAGATAAGATAGATAAGATAGATAAGATAGATAAGATAGATAAGATAGATAAGATAGATAAGATAGATAGATGGATAGATAGATAGATGGATAGATAGATAGATAATGATAGATAATGATAGATAATGATAGATAATGATAGATAATGATAGATAATGATAGATAATGATAGATAGACAACCGTAGTGTTTCGGGCTCGTAACTTCCATCTAAATGCTGAAATCACCCGAGGACCGTCTGGGCCGTTTGCCCACGGTGGCAGAAGGCGTCGTGTACGAGACAGTGGCAGGACGCCATGTCTTTGACTCCTATGAGGCCTGGAAACATCTCAAACCTGAGCATCAACGATGAAAAATGTTGCGGGAACCACCAAAAAATGCGCTGATTCGCATTCGCCTTGCATATGGCGTGCATGTTTTTTTAAAATCATAACAATAAATCACCATCATGTATGTTCAACACTTCTTGTTGTTGTCTGAACACAACACCATTATTATCATTTCGAATGTCATGATATGTCATGATTATATTTTTCAATATATATATACATGCATATGATGTGTATATACATGTGTTATACATATGAATTATGAATTAGGATTTTTGTCTATTAAGACTATCATTATTACAAAATGTTTCAATCATCGGAATCTTAACATACATGTGTGCTCATCACACATGCAAAGGTAAACAAGTAGCGAACTCTGGTGCAGGTGTTGGTGGCCATTGGTGGCCGCGTGTGCGCCTGCGCTGTCACTGGGGTGCCGGAGGAGCGCTTTCATCCTGGGGCTGAAGATCCAGCGTCGGATGAGGCCGCGTTGTTCTCCGTTGCGGAACTTGGGGAAGGGGGTTCTGAAGTATGGCAAAAACTGGAAATCACATGAAATAACTCGAAACATGCACGCGAAACCGTATTGTTGCAATTTCAAAACCTGGAAACAACACGAAGCCACCAAGCGAACCATAGCGAACCCAAATTGCGCATTTTCTTACAGCACGCACATCACATTTTCAACCCATCGGCTTTGTGCCACAGTGCTACGCACCAGAATTGCAGAAACTGCAGGCTGCAGGTGGAGCTTTTAGTCGCATCCCTCATCCTGCCGGAACCATCCACCGCCGCCAGGCAGTGATTGGCCTAGCAGCCCTCTCAGCCCTGGATTTGGTCGTCACCTGCGGTCAAAGGACCGTGGTGTCGGCACGGCCATGAGCAGACCGTAGACGAATGGTTTCGGTGCATTTCCGGTGCATTTCCGCTATGACATTTTGAAGCACCAAGCCAACGCCACACTGTGTGAAAACTGTAGACCAACATGTGTAGATTTTCCCTGAATCGCTTCATCCCCACTCCATTGATGGGGGTTGGTCAATGGGATGGTTTATTACTGGATTTATCCTGGTCTAATGTTGGTTTAAGCTGGGGATGGGGAACCCTTTCCATCTACTCAGCTTCCAAGCTTCGCCAGGTGGTCCTGAGGTCGGCCGCGGCCAATGCCAGCATCGCGGTGCCTTGGAGATCTTGGAGGTCAAACTTGGTTGATCTGGTTGCGGGAGTTCAACATAAGGCAACCAGAACTATGTCAAACACATCTTAAAACCCTTAAAACCCACCTTAGAAGCATCTTAAAAGCGCGTTGAAGACAGACTTTTGGAATAGATGGTTTCAATGTTTCAATGCTTTCACCACTTTTGGCATGTTTTAGGATGTGAAGAATGGCACAGCCTTTGACTACAAAATCTTGGAGAGGGCAAGGGAGAGAGAGAAAGATCAACCACCAAAAATTAAGGACTGGGATTTATGCTGGCTTAAGAAATGATGATACGCATGAAAACATTGCGCTGCCTTTTGCTTTTAAAATCAAATAAGATCAAATAAGGCCTTAACAACGTTACAGAGAAATACAGCTATTTAATGCTATTTCATGATATTTCAGCATTGGTCTATAATACCAACAGTTGATTTGGAAACACTGGACCATTACAAAAAGTGAAGATGTTGAAGAGTTTGACGCATGAGTGCATCATCGAGTATATCAAGTTTTGGATGTTTTTCATGATTTTTTAAGGGTGGAAGATACCATTTTAGAACCCATTTTAGAACCCCAAAACGGAATAGCTGCCAAAAAAATTGGGCTCTAAGACCCCCCTTGTAGATTCCATTTTAGAAACAATTTTTGGGTTCTAAAATGGTCCCTAAGGGGGTTTGAAGCAACTTGAGAGGATTAAACTATACTGTGGCACTGTAATGACGCTGGTGGGAGAGATATGAAGAGGAACGGGACTGTTGATCCCGGTAGATCTCACTAGGGCGACTTTTGGGAGATTTTGTTCACTTTGGGGAGCCCCAAAAAATTGACTCAAAATCAGCTGGGCCGGTCAGAGATTCTTGGGCACTTTTTGCAGATACTTGACATACCCAGATAGCTTGGTATAGCTTGGTGGTTTGGCTTTCGCCGGCCTCATCTTCACACCCAGCACAACCTGGCTGCCCGAAAGTGTTACGGGCAGTGCCATCTCTGAGGATATCACGCACCGGGTTCCCTTCGATGAGGTTGGGAAAAAGGTGCGTGTCCCAGAACACTGTACAATCTGTACAGCCCAACAGCATTTTTCTTCGTCACACCCTCCAGTCATCTAGCTATGGAACATGGGCCATTGAGCCCATTGAGCCCATTGAGCCCAGTGCTAGGTCGCCAGCTCTTCGATTCTTTCTCTGGTGCCGTGGGGAGCCGAGGAACGATGTCATGGAACATGGCAGATATAGGGGTTGGATGTTGGAATATTTAGTTTGCTCGGGGTATAGCAGGCTGGGGGCCAGGGTGTGTAGAAGCGAATATGCTCTCAACTCACGTTTCACATCCTTTTTCGTTCTGCTTAGGAACACCATAATGGAACAGGCGCTCGGGACGAGCGGGGTGGAGCGATGAAATCCCCAAAAAAGGGAGTCCTTGCGGAAAAGTCTCTCAAAACCAGGCGTCGTTTCCTGCAAGTTGTGTCCATGATTTGATTTTTACTTGTGGCTGGCGACACTTACCTCATCCACATCTCTATTCTCGACCATCCTGTTCAGAATGAGGCAGACATGCTAGGATGGACAGACTCCGTTTGAGAAAAGGACTGCAAAGAGATCGAAGTGAGATCTGATGGGAGCAGGTTTGGGGCTGGAGGCTGTGTTGGGGACATCAGACATCACAAGCCACTGGCCTAGCAGGCAAGCTTTGAAGAGTACAGCAAGTGCGCTTAAATCCAGGGAGACGAAAAAGTGAAGGCAGTAGTACAGAACAGGCATGCCAGGTCAGATTGAACATTTGTAGCGCCGTACGGACGCTCTGTTAAACCTTGTCACAAAGTCCTTGAAAAGATAGAAGCCCTTTCAACATCTTTCGACTCTAGACCCCCCAGAAGGCTTCATGAATTTGAGCCAGGTACTTTAGAAATAAGAGCCGGGCTGGAGTAGCCAGTGTCTTGCACGAAAGCTGCTGGTGGTCTGGGCTTGCTGGGTGTGGCTGCAGAAATCCCAACAGGGGCTCGACGGGTCTCAACATGGGGAGGGGGCACCCTGCCAAAGGGCAAATGATGGGGAACCTGATTTTAGGCAGAATCATTTGGACAGAGTCCAATTTTAAGTCGCCAATAATTATATGTAATGTAATAGTATTAATAATCAATAGATATTAAAGAAGATCAATGTTTTTCACTCCGGCCTATTTTTGCATGTGTGGCTCAGGACTGGACGAGTCGCTGGCATTATATGTCATGCCATGTGGGGAGGCCGTGGATCTTTGGGCTGAAGCGGAAGGGATTGGAAGATCTCCGGTGGGCAGTGGTTCACAGCCGAGGTCCCCAGGTTGTTTACCTTTCAGTAAACCAACACAACTATGCAACATGGCCCATGTATAGATACCATTTATAGATGATTTACCATGATTTACCTATATTTACTTATTCTAACGTGATTTTCCCAATTTATGTTGAATTACCGGGGTAACTCATTGAGTTTTTTCATGTTTTTCTGGTGTTCTTGGCGCTTGGGCCTTGCCTGGGAACGGCAGGACATCCCCGCGTTGAAGGACTCCTTGTACACCTTGGGGCCACATATCCCGCGAGTGGGATGCCTGATAGGCTGCCGGGGATCTGCCCAAAGGTCACATGAAAAGTAATCAGTAGCCATTGGGTAGGCCAAACAATGGAGAATGAGGAGCCACACAATTCTCTCAGCTCAGGCGAACCAACCCAGTGGGATGACAACGATTTTTTCGTGTTTTCCCATGTTTTTTCCCACTCAGAAACTTTCCTGGATCCCTGAGTCTATTTTCACGGTTCATCCCAGTGGGATGTGCGCCAGTGACCCAGCCAGCCAATGGAAGAGCCACAGTTCAGACGAATTCCCAGGGCCCAGCGCAGGCCTCATTGGTCCGGGCACGGCAGCGGTGAATGCGGCACCGCAAACTGCCCGACCGGTGAAGCAGGTTGCGCCCCCCGTGCTCCACTTGGGAGCTGCTGCAGTTGGGATGGTTGATTTTGGATAATGGTATGATTTTGATACCATATACAGTAGATAGATAGATAGATAGATAGATAGATAGATAGATAGATATATATATATATATGATATAATGGTTGATCTATTAATTATAACGGTATGGCATGTAATTTATAAAAATTGTATGGTATCAATTAACAGATGATCCAAATAATGATGATAATGGTATGCAATGGCACCAATTAATAGATGATCCAAAATCAATGGACAATGGCCTACTACAATGGCTAGAATCGAAACTTCAATGGCCTGGTTTTGCGGTTGAAATGGGAATGGGTAATAGCCCAGGCACATCACTAATTACCTCCAAAAGGACTGGTGTGTGAGACCCTGGGCGTGTTCATCAAAAAGAGCTGGTGGCCTTCTATGTCCAGCGAATCCCTTCTTGAGATATCAAATGATTCTCGGTAGGCTTACTGGCTTGCTTGTTAAGTTAAGTTGATTTGGGCCGTTCATGGCGGATTTCGGAATCACACAAGAATCAAGGACATCCCGAGATTTTCACACCCATGATAGGGTCAGCGAAGTTATGATCATGGCAGCTAAAAAGATGTTTTCCCTGAGGCAGCGCAAGCAAGCGCGCTTTTGCACTTTTCCATGCTGCAGCCGTAATGCTGACAAGGAAGTACGAAGCACAAAGTAGGACACTGATGGACACTGCACATACCCTTGGAATGTCGGCAGGTCATGTCACAGCTGAATAACCTTCGTTTGACCCATGCGACGAGACGACACCCATCCGATTTTCTGGCCAAGATTCGGCCATGGAACCTCCCTGGGCTGCCTTGGCCATCCTTTGCCCCAATGCCTGGCTTCACAACGAGGGGGAGAACCATGCGCAGGCGGTGATGTGATGTGCAGTGTAGCAGTGTAGCACTGTAGAGTCAGAGGATGAAATTGACATGTTGTGGCCAATATGCCAGCAATTGCCAATGATCAATGGGGGATAAACAAGGAGCACACGCTTAACAAAGGTCATATTCAAAACCAAGTTGGGACACGTTGGGACCATAGGGATCTCAAAGTCTTCGATCTAGTAATCTAGTGATCTAGCCTACCAATGGAAGCTACCCCATTTATGATATGCCCACAGTACACACGCACAAACAACTATACTGTAGAACAATAATGCATCATCCTTTTTCCTTATCATCTACTACCATCATCATTGTATCATCGTTATGAGTTATGAGTTATGACCATTAATATAATACGCCTGAGGCTTGTGATAAGAAGTGCATTTTTTTGAGGGGGTGCGGGGTTAGAGTCGAACATGTTTCTTAACCACGACCCTTCGGCTAAGAAATGTGGCTGGCGGTTTCTCAATCCAGTCCATTAACAATTCAACCATATTCAACCTAATTATCCCTTCCGAGGTCCAGCAGAAGCTTGATATCAACCTATTCCATCCTATTCCCTTCTACGCAGTCTAAACAAGAATACGATATGATGTCCCATATTTTCACGCGAGATCGGCTGGCCCTTGGTTTCTCGGTTTACTTGTTTTACTTCAAGTTTACTTCATCTGTTTCACCACAAAAGTCCGGATGAAGTTTAACATTTGTTTACCATGTTTATCCCTATCGGTATCCCTGTAGATCCCCCATGCTATTCCCATAAAGTCAGTTTAACCCATGTTTCACCCATGCTTAACCCATGGTATCCCCATAGAAATTCCCCGTTTTTCAACATCCCAAGAGGACTACAGCGTCTGTTTCCTGCCCAACGATCACTCGGTGCTGCCGCGGGGCCGTCTCAGTGCTGCAGACCGCGCCTTGGCACGGAGCAGTCCCAATGCAGACGAGGTGCCCAGGGGCGAAAACTCATGGGTTTTAATGGTGATAAATGGGGATTTACAGTAACCAACCAGGGGATATGAATGGGAATATACCTATTTGGTATAGATGAAACATAGCTATGGTATAGATGGGCTAATGACAGTTGATTTACCTAGTAAAAGTTGTGATTTTCCTTGGCTATGTCAAATAACCAGAGGGTAAGGGTATATCATGCACATTCCATTGATTTATCCAATTGATTCATTTCTTGGTCTATGTATGTTTAAGTTCTTCCTTGCGTGATTTATGAATTTGTTTGCTTACATGCAAGCATGAGCATATTTATGTACAGTACATGTTCATTTGCAGTGATGCATTCTTGCAATTCCCCCGTTATCTCAAGAACCAGGTGCATCTCAGGCCCAGTTTCCCACACGTCGAGGAGCCCACATGCCAGGTCTTCTTAGGCTTGCGCGTGGCTGCTCTCCGATGTGCTTTTGAAGCTTGTGCGCATGAGTTGCGGGGTGCACCCATTCCGTTTCCCACACACGACTTGAGATTCAGTCCGGTTCCAGTGGGTTTCTACTTTCACAATTCACCACTGAAAAGGCCTTGAAAGCGTGGGCTCCATTGCTTCAGCTGCTCAATAATTCGCTGCTTATCTCAAAACTATATATACTGTAACCCCCCAAACTGGATGAAAAGCGCACCGACCCAAACTATGCAATCTATTCATTACTTGTGTCTCCCTCGTGTCCCCTAGATTCCTGGACATTGTGGATTGAAAGCACCAACTTTGCATATGCATTATACACATTCATACTTGGGATAGGATATGTATCGTATACGTGTGGTTGAACCCAATGTTTATATATATATATACGTGTATATATATAATATGTATATGTATTTATATTATATTATATATATATATTATATATATAATATATATTATATATATTATATATACATATTATATATATATATATTATATGTGTATATATATATGTATATATATTGCTAAAGGGAACTAAACGGTACTGCACACATGTATAAGCATGTGGAGTAGGCCTGACATGACGCCAAATATTCGGCTCAAGTCGCAAGGGAAAACGGTGTTTGCGCCGCTCAGCAATGCTGCCTGGACTCCGGCTACTAGGACGTTAGGGATTCCAACAACTACAACCAGATATCCGGGAACAAGGATTAAAATTGTTCACAGGTTATCAGCCGTAAGGGCTCACTTCTTCCGTCGGAAGAGGAGTACCTGCGTGCTGGTAGCCGGGCCGTCAGAGCTTAAGATTGTGGACGCAAAGGGCCAATCAGCTCATCATCGCAAAGATGCAGGGCGGCAGCGGGGACTCGCGCAACACGCAGTTTACCTTCAACGAGAACGCTGCTATGCCGGTCGAGGAGGTCACTCAATCTTCCCCTGGCGACACAGCAGACAGTGGTGGGATACGCTCTACCCGAACTACACAGTCCGGATGGCAAGTTACATCAAACAGACGAAGAATGTCCACCCAAAGTACACCAAGATCTTCTCGAAACAGTGCTCGAAGAAGTGATGTTGTCCGCCAAGGGCATCGACCATCTCGAGGACGAACTACCCCAAGGGACAGATCCACCAGGGCCGGAACCGACCGAATTGGTGAGAGGACCGGGGACACTCGCGTTAAGAGGAGATCAACGGATACTTCTGTGGCTAGTGAACCTATTGCCATCATAGAAGAACTACGGGCACAATGTCAATCCTTACGTAATCAGTTGAACAATATGGAAGCATATGCTGCATCAAGAGATCAACTGATTCATGACATCGAGATCAGATTCACTGAATATCTTCAGGAACAAAACCAGAATGTGTTTGATGAGGTCAATGCACTCAATCATAGATTGTCATGTTCCGCAAATGAGGTTGCAGAGTATCAAGCAGAACTAATGGTAGCATCTCAGGAAGACGAAGGTGCAACAATACGCATCCAAGACCTTGAACGCCGAGGTGCCCTGATGGAACACGGTGCAAGACGGATCCATCAACGCGGTATGGAGATCCAGGAAGAGTACAAGGATGAAGTACATCACCTTCAAGGACTATTGGGTAATACGGAGGCAAGACTGCAACAACTTCATCAGACCAATGTCTTAACTACCGATATTGCCAACCGATTGTACACTGAAGGTCAAGAAATGCAGACGGATTTCCAGAACTCAATCATGGAATATCGTAATCGATCCGAAATGGCATCCTTCTCAAGCAATCAACTTGAAATGATTAGCCAACAACAATCAATTGCAGTTCATGAATTGTCTGAACGGAATCAGCTATTGAGTGAAGCTCTAGTTCAGTCTCGTAAACAGGCCGAGTTGTATGAAAACAGTATTGAAGAGATCACTAGAGAATCTAGAAAGAAGGTTTTCGAGGCAAATCAGGCCAAATTGGAAAGCGATCTGAAACACCGAAACACTGAACATGATACTGTCAGAAGAATTGCATCATACAGGAACAACGAGGCCGAAGCGATATCGCACCTGAGGCTTGAATCACAGGCTAGTGCAAATGCGATCGCGAGGGCAGAGCACTATGAAGAGCTCTACGCCAACGAGCAGGAGATGAACTGTGAATTGAAGGATGAGATCAGATTGCAGAACGTGAAGTTGCGAAGATCATCAACTCAGGGCACTACGATCGACGGTCGTGGCCCTGATGAGATGCTTGTTGAAGATCTACGGAACCAAGCCAAAATCGCTCAAATCAGGGTTCAGGATCTAGACCATGAAGTTCATGAATGTTTACAGGAGAACATGTTGTTAAAAGAAAGATTGACTGAAGTTGCGGATGTAGGGGCGTCGTCCTTCTCCAATGCTGAAGTCCGAGCTTTAAGATCTGAACTAGAAAGTGAGCGCAAAATGAAATTGGCTAGTGGTGTTCAGCAATATGAGAGATCATGCATGTTCATGGGGGAAATTCAGGATAGGGATGAAAAGATTGGTATCAAGAATTCTGAGATTATTGACATGAAACGTCGCATAGACGAACTGAGAAAGAGTCTCAAGGATTCTGAAACATCTATGTCCAGGGTCAACCCTGATACGCTTCCCTATTCGGCAGGTATCCCCAACTATGATCTCGCATCAAGACTGGTCATTGATAGACTGGAGAATGAGGTGAGTGAGGCTAACTCCGAGAACTCTGTCCTGAAATCATGGGTATCGCAGATCGACAAGGAGTTGACCTACGAGACTAATGCTGCTCTCTCCTATTACGGGCATGCTGGACCATCTCAAAATCAACCATCTCAATCGAACAAAAGGATCACCGACCTGCTGAAAGAAGTTGACAACAAGATCGCCGATGGAACCGAGAAGGACTACTACAAGCCTCCGGGCGGAAGGGGTGGCCCACCTGACCCTGATGGGCCTCCTGACCCTTTTGGACCTAATGGTCCAGGACCACCTCCAGAACCTCCTGGCTTGCCTTCAGTGCGGGGATCACAACGCGATTCAGCAGATGATATCTCCACTGCGGCGTACACGGCAGAAGAAGTACCGAGAATGTCGAGACGGGAGGCTGACAAAGTTTATGTTAGCCCATGGCCGAAACAACAGAACCTTATGGTTTGGCAGTCAGATCTCATCAAGAGTGTTGTTCTTGCCGCGAACGATGGAGACAAAGCTGCATGGGAAGCGTGGCTACAGCCGGCTATTCGACCAAATCCTGACATCGAGCTACTGAATGACAGTGGTGGGCAACGATATCAGTCGATCGACGCGAAGTTGTCAATCGCATTGTCGAACGTGATAGCCCAGGCCGGTGATGTTGCTCGCCATGTAGCAATCAAACTGAGATTGAGAACACAGAGTCATAGTCGAAGAGGGACCTATGTTATGGGACGTGAAATTTTGGCTATGATTCTGGAACACTTCAGGACACCAGGTCAACGAGAAACAGCCTTCACCATGGAGCACATCGTGTCGATGAAGTATCTCGGTGACTCCAACCTGGAAGTGTTCTATGAGAAGTGGATGGAGATGGTATCAAACATGATGCCGGATGATGTACCTCCTGATGATTGGCTTCGTGACTCTCTGTACAAGAAGATTCGGAATTCGAGTCTCATGATGTTCGACATCAAGCAGTACGAATCATGGATTGAAGGAGATCAAAGACGAAGCTATCGTTACCTGTTGGACGTCATCGAAAGGCACATATCCAGGATCAGAGAAGACAAGCATGTGGCCGCCAGAGAGAAGTACGCAAGAGACTTTGCAGGTGGTGGCAAACCCACTACTCCTGCACCAAATCCAACTGCTGCTGCACCAGATGCCAATCCGAAGGCGAAGGCTAAAGCCAATCCCAAGGAGAAGGCAGCACCTAAGGCGAAGGCCAAGGCTGAGGCAGCTCCAGTTCTACCATCACCTCAACCAAAACAGCATGCAAAAGGAAAAGGGAAAGGTCAAGGGAAAGGAAACGGACGGTCAAACAGCCGAAGTGCTAGTCCTAGATCCAAGAAGAAGATCCCATGTCATTTCCATTTCATCAAGAAAGCATGCAGAAAAGGAAAAGATTGTGAATACAGTCACGACCAAAAGGTGTTTGATGCGAACAAGAACACGAAAGGTAATGGTCGAAAGCCAGGAACTCCGAGAAGTCAATCTCCAGCGAACAAGACCAAGAAGATTGATGAACCATGCTGGCACTGGGCCAAGGGCAAGTGCCGATACGGAGACAAATGCAACAAACGTCACGATCCTCATCTCTTCAACACTGCTCCGAACACCGAAGCATCAAGCTCAAAGGCTACTCCTGCACTTGTCCATGAATGGAGTGATGACGAAGGGACATTCCACAAGGTTGCATCGAATGTCGTCAAGAAGAAGGTCAGATTTGATGAGTCCAAGACTTGCATCCAAACGTACGTGAAGAAGGACTTCGTGAAGTGCAGCCGGAAATCCCAGACCATCCCCAAAGGTCATGGTAAAGTCGGCAAGCCCACCGATCAGATAAGGCAAGATGAGCAATGGTCTTATTCATGCAGACTAGCATCGAGCCGAGGGAAGGCAATGGCTATCCTGATCGATGAGAAGGGCGAGTACAGTGACATTGATGAAGTCCTAGTCATCGTCGGCCCCAGTCTGGACATTCTGATCAGGTTCGACATCGAGGACGGTGAGGTATCCAGGGAGGTCTTCGTGGAGAACTATGTTCAACATGTCGAGGGTCGATATGGCAAAAGGGGTAACACGATGTGTATCACTGTTCCTGTTGAAGAAAGAGATAAGAGATTCATATTGGATTCTGGAAGTGGTCATGATCTTATCTCATCCACACGAATAAGTAGAATGGATCTCCCAACATATGATGATAAAGTCGTCAACTTCCATACAGCAAACGGGGTAACATGTTCGACCAAACGATCAAGTATCAAGTTCGAGGCATTCAACGAACCAGCAGAAGCTCACATCCTGGAAGACACGCCTTCCGTAATCTCCATGGGC